TATAGGTTTATTGAAACGTCGTATTATGTGTAGGCCTGTGTAGGCTTAATGCGGGGGTTGGCATGAAAACCTCCTGTGGTATTAACATAATTGTCAAAGATTCTGTTTATTTACGTCCTTATCTAAATTATTTAAACTTAACACATTGAACTTGTTGTTGTTGACTTGTTAATGATTTGTTGCCGATTCGCCATGGGAAAAAGATATTTAAGGAGGTTTTTTTAGCCAGGCGTTTTGCAAAATTAGGAATCTTTGAAACGTGACTTTTTCTCTCTTGAAATAGAAAGGCTGATATAAAAATAAGCAATACAAAATACGTAGTGGCTATTCTCACGACAGCGCTTATACATGAGGCCTACGACACAGAAAATATATTTTCAGTACCTGATAGTATAAATTTGTATATTGATGTTACATTATGGTAACCTGACCATTCTCTTCCAGATGTCATATGCCTAATTAGTGGAGGCGCAATCAAACCGTATACGTCCGACGGGCAGGTTCTTGTACTTTTTATTCATGCTTCCTATGGTAGATCATACTTAATCTTTGTATAAATTTACTATTATTTGTTAATTCTCCTTTGGCTTGCAATCTATTACACCTAGCGTCTAAAAATATTAATTATTTATGGGAAACGCCACAGCATGGGGTTTTAGGACTACCAGAAATAATTCCATGGTCACGGTAAACCCATTGACTTTGTAATTGTTATGACAATGGATTTACTATGGCGTCCACCCTTGGCACTAGGCCCAATAATGCGAAAGCAGCCTCCTGGGCCCGGAAAAGTTTATATCCTTCTCGTACTATACAGGTATGTCAAGTTGGTCAAAATGGTCAAAACAAGGAAAAGAGGTCGATCGAACGTCCTTCCATGGACGGTTTTTACATTAAATACTGTTGTACGTTTCCATAAAATCATAGTTTAAAAGAGACAAGTTGATTAGCCATTCCCATGCCTATCAAGTGTAAATTGAGTAATTGTTTTAGCCTGTATCGGTAGAGTACCGTAATGAACGTGTTTTGTCATAGTGTTAAATTAATAATAGACATTTTTATCAACATACAAGAAATCATTATTTCTTTTCTTTTATTTCTTGTATTAAATTAGGCCTTATTTCCAAAAGCAAGCATACTGTGCACTTTGTACAGTAAAACTAGGGAAATAGTGTTAGATCCTGGGGTAACGAACGAAAGGGCGATTAACCCATCCCCGACATCAGCAGCAGCAAAATACCGTATCTCTAACTAAACAAGTGTTTGTTTGAGAGACTAATATGGCTAAAATGGCTTCTTCAGGAGCGGATCCAGCGGGGGCCTGTCCCCCTCACCTCCCGACAGTCAAGCAAAAAATGAAAATAGAGGGAGAAAAAAATTGAGAAGAGTTAAACGGATGAAAGAGAGGAAAAAATAAAGAGTACCCATGAGTTCAGTGGCGGATTCAGTAGGCGAAAGGAGAGCTCAATCATTTTAACACCTTAACGATGTATTTTCGACGCCGTTTTTTCCAACGATTTCAAAAATCAGGATCATAAAAAGGTCAAAAAGAGACATAAGACGGGTTTTTTTTAGCCATTATTACAGAAGGTAGTACTACTGTGAATGATTGCCATTTCCGGTCACCGAGGTGCCATAATTTTCTTACTGCAACCCCAAACATTTGGGCTATAACGGTGGTATGGACCTTCCACCTGTGAAAGTCTCTCCCCTTCTATTTCAAATTCCTGGATCCGCCAATGATATAATTTCATTTATTTCGTCGTTAAAAACATTTAAAATACAATGACAAACATAATTTAATTCGAGTGCATCTAAAATTCCACAATGGAATTGGCGACCGTCACAAAAGGGTCTCAAAAGTTGTGCTTATACTCTTATTAGGCCTAGGCCTCTTGGATTGTTGGTTCCGAGTTTGAGCTTTGCGACTCCCAGCATAGAATAGATAGAGTAGGCCTATGTCCTCGATTATACTCTACCTTCGTGACGCACATGAGGAGATGGGTGTCTAGGGGAAGGGGAGAATAGCTGCTGTCGGAAAGAAATAAACAATTATGTCGAGGAACACTGCTTAAAAAAAGCATTTTTACCATCTGAGAGTGCCATTTCCGAGCGTCTAATGTAGAGGTGCCTATTCTTAACATCTGCTTAATTCACCCCCAACCATGGTGGGGCTGAGGTGGTGTCTACTCCCTATTGTGCCGCAGAAAATTGTTGGATCCGCCCCTGTTCTTATAAGGAAACATCCCAACCTCCCTCATTTGGTCGATACGATAGCTCTTCGATTGGCGCCTGAGCCCCTTCCCCATACACCTGAATCATCCTTTTGGAGACATGCAAACTTTCTTCTATTAAAAACGGAATTTGCACCCAAATGGAGGTGCAAATTTTATTAGGCCTACAAATATGAATGTGCGATTATATACGACCTTATTGATAAGGAGAATGAGAGTTGCAAAACAGTGGGTTCGCAAATCACAAGCTACCGGTATCGTACTCAGACATACAATGGCAAATTACTTATACGTATAACTTTTGAAGATTTGCGTTTAACAAACACTGAAGTAGGGGTCTCAATCGAAAATCGGGACGCACTTCCGCAAGCAAGCAAAACTCTCCCGGAAAATAACCGCAAATTCTTGAAATTGCATGCTTATACTATTTTAACATCAATTGTTTCACGAATTTCTTCCAACGTACGTGGACCCTTGCTGTAGTAGAAAGCTTAAAAGGAAAGGTATAAACTCAGCCTATCTTGCATCCTTAGGATATTAATAACTATAATCACTAATTTCTTCTTGATGAGATAAACAATTTTTTTTAGTTTGGGATTTTCATTATAGATAGTCTAATGTGTTTGTGATGAAAAATGAGGAATGGAGATTTCATACCTGAACCGAAAGTCAAATAATATACCTGTACCGTATTATAAATATTTGAACGTTTCTGAATGTAGTGCTAAAGTCCTCCCTGTGTCCAGATATGTCAGTAATACTGATGGTGCCTCTACGTATGATCGGCGAACTTGAATGGTTGAACCTGTTGCCAAACTTTCGGTTTGAAGTACCGGTACAAACTTCTCAAGCACGTATTTTGAAAACGGGTAAAAAAAGACGTGAGCCACAGTAAAATGTAGACGAAGTTGACTAGGACGTTATTAAGAAACGTGCCAAATAGAATTTTGTCAGTCATCCAATTTAAATATCGATGTTCAAACAGACGAAAATGTTTTGAAAAATCGCTATAAATTCACCAGAGAATGTGTTTATTTATTAATATTAATATTTCGTGCACCGTGTGATGTGTAATCATGAGTAAACGATTTCTAAACTTAAATACATGTTATATAATATTTTAACTGTATTAGAAATTTATTCCTCCATGATTAGACCTATATACTATAGTAAAAAATGGGTGCTAGGTAAAACCTCTAACCGCGTTTAGTAAAACAAGGTGCCCATTGTAATAGAAAAATTTCCCAATCTTCTGAAAATATAGATTTCACTGACATCTTGTATGAACTGCCGCCCCCTACCGGTGCAAATTATTGTTTTATTGTACTTTCATGTAGCATTTTTGATATAAATAATAAGACGGGGAATAAGAGTTATGAAAATTTAGCTCATTGTGCACTCATGGATGGGATTACGCTTCTGTTTTGCTGCCAAGTAAGTTCGGAGTTGTATTATTTTCATCGAGTCCTATAATCCTCACTGGTTACCGGTATATCAATGGCGGAACCTTTCAGGTTCATGTCCGTTTGTATGACCTTCAGAAATTACGAAGGAATTCAGAGAACATCATATACAAATGTCATAGCGAATTTTAATATTATCATTAACATTAATATTATTGTTATTGGTATTGGTATTGAATGTTAATTTTATTTAATTAAATTGAATTCTTTATTTTAGACATGTCCATATAAACAAAATAGCACAATAGTTAGAGGCAGATTGATGTGAATGATTGAACTATCTAACAGACTTAGTATATGTGCAGTTAACCCCTCCTTTGGGACACCTATTAAGTTGGAACTTGTTTGGCCGCGAATAGAAGGCATCCTCTTACATAATCACTTTATAACCATTATTGAGTTTGGAGTGGAGTTGTAGCCTGGTGTTCACTGCAGGGTTTTCTTTCTCACAGCTAAAAACAAGTCCACTCACGAAACTTCATAAATGAGACTCCGTTTATAAAACATCGTTTTATCCGCTAATTGGCGCGTTCTGTACACTTGCCGTGGATGTTTAAGGAAATAAAAATAAAATTTATATATAAAATTTGTATCATTCTATATTTTACCATAGTAATTATTAGTATTACTGTCATAATGTTAACATTGAGAGAATACGGTAGTAAAGCCAACACAAGATCAAGAAGTGTGATAGGATCGTCTGTCAAGTGCAGGCAAATCTCAGTAGGCGTCATCAGACATCATTTGCAATCAACATAATGATAAAAGTTCAGTGAATTCACAATAAAATTCACCATACAGTCAAAATGTCAAATAGAGCAACAGTTTGTCTGCGATCGTCAGATGTAAGCCTACATGACTTTTATTACTACCATCCAGCTGCGAATTCTATGTTGTACATGTACGGTGCATTAAAATATAGTATTTATAATTATTCGTAAATGGGGCTCCCGAATGAAACGCGTCTATCCGCCCGCTTATCCGTGGTCGTGGCCTACTTTAACTTGTGTGGATGGCGCAAGGGCTATGTACGTATCCCCACTACACGCATTATATCGATACACGACCTGACCTGTGACTTTTATACAGGCATATACACCTCATATGGCCATCTATCAACACAAGTTCATTGGTAGTTGGAAAGTTCATGTGTTTTTACTACTACGAGTTAGCTCAACTATCTTCAGACGCTGAAGGGAACTAACGAAGTGTACAACACTAGTTGGTGTTGTCGAAAACCTCGTTGCTTGCACTGACTTTTATCAAATTTTTACTTTTTTTTTCGTTTTTTTTTTTTGAACAGAAAAGAGAATGAAAGATAGGCTACTACTCGTTGGAGTTGTAGGACTGGTTGCTGTACTATTTGACATTACGGCGTCACAGGGGGAGCAACAGCAGAAATCAGTAATTTATGGGTAAGCTTAATAAATCTCCACGTTTATTAACATTTTTTAAATATTTTAACTTTAATGCGTATATTCTATACGTTAAATGTGTTTAAAATACCAAAAATATTAGTTTAATTGCTAACGCTTATGGCGTAAGCATTTTCTTGGGTTTATTATGCTCATGTTTTAGAAACGTTTAGGCCTAAATGTACATACACTTTGAATCAAACCATATTTTCAGCAATTCCCTGAAGGAGCGCTCTGTGTATGCCGAGTGATTGATTCGAGTTCATTGCCGTCATTAATTACATTTTGTCACATCGTAACAATGTTAGAAATTCTTTCCGTGTTTACCGATTAGAAAACATGCGCTTTTTTGAGTAGCATCGCTGCGTACAATGTAGTTAGTACCGTATAGACTTAAATATCCCGTAATTGTATAGAAAGTGCGAATCCCAACAAACACAAAACGTTATTATAACTCTCGCGAATGTTGTTACGTTGCTGTTAGGATGTGTCAGAAACGTTAACGCAGTGTCAGTGGCGGCTACGGGGGATGGGATTTCACCCCATATAATTTTCTCCCACCCCCAGTCCCCTCCCCCAGTTTCGGAAATATGAACATTGTAAAAATAAATTTGGCCAACAAAATTAACCACAACAATGCATTTAACAAACTTTTTACATTTGTAATTTACTGAACACTTAAATAAAAAATAACAGGAACGTGGATAGAAGCTTTAATGTGATTTTATAAATTATAATTGTATCTCCGGTCTGCTGGAAAAACATATTGCCACCCCAAAATTTTACCTTGCCCCTCACTTACCCCTAGATTTCAGACGCTGGCGCCGCCACTGCGCAATGTTGCAGCAACTTTTGCAACGGGTGTCGGGGACTGGGGAGGGTTAAGTTCTCACTCTACTAACCCCAATACTGGTTATAACAATATGAAAAGTCTCACGATGATGGTTGTCTCACAATTACGTGCAGGTTCAGCTTTAGATGATAGGTGATCGTAGGAAAGGCCAATAAAATCAAAACAACACACGGTTGTATTTAGTGTGTTGTTGTTTCTTAACTACCGTATAGCGTATTAGATAGGTCTATATTTGTCTTGGCTGATGGTTGCTCTAATAATAATCTTTGATAATAAACTTTAAATTAGGCCTATTTTGCATACAGTACCCGTATGTATTTATGAGGTTATTATCTTAGACTCTAAATTTTTTACACAGGTCTAAAACTGATTAATTAGCTGGTAATTAATGTACCATCATGGTTTAATTAATTGAAATAAAAATTATAGAAATAATTTATCCTCCACGCCAATCAACGGATGCACGAATGTTCGTGTGTTTATTATAGACCATTAAAATAGATGGTATAGGCTATATCTCAGCGTAAACAGTTTCGATATGTATCATTTAATAGGCCTGTCACAAAATGAACAACACGTGGAGTACTCTGTGCCTAATAGGCCTATGATAAGGCTATGTTATAAACTTGGGATATGACACGATGTGCGGAACAACACGTTGTCCACTGTCCTTCAAGTGTTCTATTGTTGTGAGAATTAGATTGGTCTTTAAGTTTTACAATCCAAAATTTAGGCCCAATTTGCAAGTTTTTCAGTAACCTATTAAAAAAAAGAAAAAGAAAATCCCATAGCCTACGCCTCAATGGTCCTAAAACATCAATGATAGTACTGTATATAAAGCCATATTTATTTGTTCAACCTATGGTGACCCATCTTTCCTGGAGTGCCTTATATTTGCTTGTAGATGACAAGTTTCCAGAGAGATTTACCACCAATTGACCCAGAAATAATGTGCAAGCATCCTACGGATTTCCGCCACTCTTTGCGTATTAACACTTGCCAATGCTGTGCTCGCATTGTTCCCTTTATCCGGCCTAAAGGAGAATCGATAATTTTCCATTTTCAAAGTATTTTGAGGCCATTAGAAACCGCATGCATCGCGCGCCACGAATCATGCGTGGCTATTCTGTATCGTGACGTTTAAGTTGCTGCCTTCCAATCACTAGTCCGGAAGCTCAAAACGTCAGGATGTTGTTAGATGAATACTGCAGATCCATTCCCCAAACCTCAATGATGAAAATTGAGCCAGTTTGTAGGCCTATATATATAAAAAATACTATTGTTTTTATAGCTTTATCGCATGTAAGTATTCGTATTGGCCTATTCATGGTCTGATGAATTTGTTTTACTTGCGTGTTGATGTTTTCTCTATTTAGCCTATTTATTTACTGTAGGGCCTATATCTGCAATGAATGGGAGCAGCCACACGCGCACAAATTAAAAGCTTATTTCAGTAGCAGATTTATTGAGTGCACCGACTTACTCTTGGCCAATAAAGTATTGGAAACGAGCTCGAAACACTCAGTCACTCGTTTGTGTCCAGAATTTCAAAGCTTGTGAACTTTCAAAATAACTGTCGTACCGTAGTAGTAGCGTGCGCAAAACATGGTAACCAGGGCACAGCTCTTTGTTCTGTTACGATCTTCTCTTTTCAGACTTATTAGTAAAGTTGTTTAAAAAAAGCCACTGCGCTGCACGCATCCGGAAAATCTATTTAGCAGGGTTGGTATGTCATTTTCATTCAGCCACGATAGTTCATTTGCGTCATTGCATTTCCCTATTGACTAAATAAAAAGTAGTCTTGGGATGGATTTTGTGCTTGATTTTTTTTAATTAAATCAATTCGATTTGACACAACACATATTCAACAGATTGTTTCAATTTTTAAGTAAGCAATTTTGTTGGCAAGTATTTAAGTATAAACCTTCTATACTTTCTAGCAAGGGCTTTTAACTGCCTGTCTGTTCACCAAGAATGGAAAATTTCACCTTTGAATAAATGTAATTGATTGATGGTTTTATTAGCGAATATCTATCAGTAGGCCTAATTGTCTTGTACCTTGATCAAAACACAAGTTCTGTTAATCTAGGCTCAGGTGTAATAGCTGAAAATCAGAATGGCTTAAAACATGCACCTAAGTGCAGACACAAAATCGTTAAAAACGCTTTTTGCTCGAACTCCCACCCAAATCACCAATAGAAAATCTGCTGAAAAAGCTCCAGTGGATAGACATCGCCCAGCAGCTAATAACACAGACAATTAAGAAAAGTCACCAGACCAGGCTAGTTAGAAATTACACGAAACCTTCCAAGTTCGATTCTAACGCAAATTCAACACAATTAATTAAGAAACAAAAATACGGATCGCAATTTATCTCATATTTTGACCCTTTATAGGAGGAAAATTCCCAGCTTATCTTCCAGACCCTAGACTAGATGTACTTCCGCTTGAGACAAACAATCTTGTCAGTTTAATTCCAGACCCTAACCCATGTGGGACTCTATCAATAACCCTTCCAGCTTATCTAGCAATTATTAAATCAGGTCAAACTATTTTGGTTTGAACTATAATATTGTGCAATACTTTGCCAGAACTACAGGACTACACTAACTATATTTAATTAGAAAGTGCCAGGATCGATGAATTGAGTAAGCTGCAATAAATTTCCAGAAAATCATTGTAAATCATACACAAGTCGTTTGGAATTTGTGCAAGTGCAATTTTATCGGAAGACAGGTCTGAGATTGGAAAGGATATTGTCAATGGCGTGTTAAAAGGCAGTCCTCCGACGATCAAGGACTCATAACATATATGTGGAAGTATATGATATATAAGAAAGTATAATACATACTCCAAGTATTGAAATACACGCCATCGTGTTGGGATTCAATATTCGACATTAATTATGTCATCATCAGGAATGAAAAAATTATCCATATTAGCAAGCTTATATGCATAGGCGTAGATCCCGAGGGATGGGGGAATATACCCCCCAATATTTGACAAGGGGGGGGGGATGGTCCATTGTATCATCCCCCAATATTTTGACTATGTATGGCATAAAATGGAGCTTTCCACATTTCAAAGGACTGTCACAGAAATAATTTGCACTGTCTTATGCGCTTACAAAGATGAAAATGATCATAATGTATTAATGTTGATAACAAAATTATTTTATCTGGTACCAATCTAAGCTCTTCTTTCCTTAGATGTTAGATGTGCTTGCAAAGAGAGCCACATTTCACATTGAATGCTATGTCAATTCCAAGAATGTTTAAGGTTATATCGGTTGATGATGAATTTATTGATTAGGCCTATAATAGCAAATCGCATCAATTTATTTTGCAAAAACTTGGCTTCCAGCTTCAGAGGGGGGGCACATCCCCTGTCCGCACAAGGGCACACATTGGCGAGACACCAGGCGCGTAACAGGGGTCTTGGGTCAGAGTGGGTA